CGCCCGCCCGCCATGGTGTCATGGATCATCTCCAGGCTGGTGGTGTAAGTGGCCTTCCCCGCGCCCCTTCCTTCCCCTCCTTCTCCGCCCCTGGCCCCCGGGCTGCGCGCGCCCCTGCAGCGCCCGGCCCGGTTCGCTCCGGCTATTAATACCCGGCGGCCGCTAAATTTAGCAGGTACAGTAGCTGCCCAGGACGCCTGCAAGCGGGCGACGCAGGACGCGGCTGCTGCCCTGGGGCCGGGGACCTGCGGGCTGGGCGGCGAGGCCCGGGGCGCACGGGGGGCTGCGTTGGGGGCTGCGACCCGCAGCGCCCCGGCCGCTTTTGTTCCCCGGGTGGGGGGGATTTGCAGAGGCCCCGAATGGGCGCGCCGCGGGGACACGCGTCTGTCTCCTTTGGGAGAAATGCTGGCGGGGTCTCCCGTCGCCGCGCCGCCACGCTTTTGTCGGGTGAAAATGACAGAGCCCAGACGAGCCTGGGGCGCTGCCTGGAGGGGTCGGCGCGGAGAAGGGTGGAGAGATGAAGGCGGGGCTCCTAATGGGATTGCAAGAATACTCCTTTTTAGGTTTCTCTGACAGCGGTAAAGCCAAGTAGAACATAGCGGGACGTGTATGAATCTTGGGGTAGACGCCTCGCGGACCCCATGTCTGATTCCTTTGGCCGGGGTTTGAGGGAGAGATAGGGGCGGGCATCTCCAGGAATTCACGGGAAATTTCGAAGTGACAGACAGCCGCTTGGGTGGTGGCAATGACACCCCCCAGGCCTTACAGGAGAGCGCAGAGTCATCTGGGGTGAGGCCTGCGTGAAGTCATTGGGGGTGGGTGTGGGGGGCGTTTTTCTCTGTCAAGCCCCAGAGCTGAGTAGACATTTGAAGAGCTCCTTCCCTCGTGGATTTATTTCCCTTTGGGGATACACATGGCTGTTCCAGTTCCTCTCCTTCCCTAACCATTTTTGCCTGAGTCAGGACAAATTTGCCACCTGCTCAGGGAGAGCCAGGGCTGAAATTGGCCTGGAGAGAGAGGGTGGGAGGTGCACCTCGGGCTTTTTCTTTGTCTGGGAAAGAGGGGCTCCGGACTCTGGTTGATTGTGCACTATCACTCCCAATGTTGTGAAACATCTCTTATCTCCTGCCCTTCTTTACTGATTTTCAAAGAAGCAGCCAGACTCAGCCTTCTGAAGTCATTCTCAGCTTTGTATCCCTGCCACCATTCTGGGCTTTCTTCCCAAAGCCAGAGTGGATGTGCCTCTTGGCCCCCCATCCTTCATTCCATGCAGGCCTCTCCACAGCTGTTGCAGACTGCTGGGGGTTTGTGCTGTACCTCCTGGTGGTATGTTAAATATTTAGAAGATTTCTGAGGGCAGAGCTGGCATGAATAATATAGGGAAGCTACTGGAACGCCTTGCCCCACCTCATGCCTGACCGAAGCCTGTCTTGCCTTCAGGGTGGTATTTTCTCTCCTGAGCTAATGTGTGATCTTCATATTTGGCAGTGGCTTCTGGAGGGCCCTCAGGGTGTGGCCCGAGACTCTCATTGGCCTGGCTGCAGAGCTCATTTTCTAGAGGTCCTACTGGGCTGGGGCTGGCCCACTGGAGAGTGAGGGCTTTGAGTCTGGGGTCCATGTGACCATCTTTAATTTTATTAGAATCCCCCTCCCATACTGCACCAGGCAGCTGAGGGGGTTGGAGAAAGAGGCATATGTTTGGGAGGGGTCTCAGTGTTGCTGTTACTTTTTAAAACCACGCTCCCCCGAAGTGAAGCTTCAGAGAACATAAATGACCAGAATTGCCCCTCAGGTCAGCCCAGGACCTTCCGCCCCAAGGGAGAATTTGTGGGATTTGGAGTTGTTATTTCCACTGTCAACTCCAAAAGGTCAGAGACACCACCTATCCCCTGATCACTGTCTTTTTAGAAACCCAACATGGAAGTGTCAGTTGTCAATTATTAAAAACTGCTTTAATAAGCAGTACCGGTTTCACATAAATAATAACCTGCTCATTATAGGAAAATCAGAAAGTACAGATAAATAGATTGAAAATCATCCACATTATTACCAAACAGATAGCTAATGGTAATTTCAAGAGGTATATTCTTCAAGATGTTTTTCCTATGCATATATGCACATACATTTATATTTCCAGTTCAAGGAATTTGTTGATTCAGCCCAAATATCCATATACCTCTTAGTAAGGAGTAGGAATACTGAATTTGGAGTCAGAAAACCCTTGGTTCAAATCCCAGGTCTGCCTCTTGCCAACAGTTCCCAGTTCACAAGAGATCCTAGTTCAGGAGCTAGTTAACCTCATGTTGCCGTTACAAAGATTTCAAGAACATGTGATACATAAATTGCAGAGCATCTTCCACTACCAGGTCTGGAAGGGGCTCTCAGACTTAATCTACTCCTGTGTTTTTCATCCAGCCTAAGTGGGTAGGCTCTGGGCTCCCAGCCCTGATCAATGGGAGTAACTCCCCCTTTGTTTGGTTTGTGTATTCGGGTTCTAAATGAAAAATAATTTGGGAAATATATGGGTTTTAGCCCTAATAAAAACCACTCGTCAGTTCTCCCCTCTCATCTATAAAACTGCAGAGGGAGTGTGCCTTGCCCAAGGACACAGGGTAAGCTGGTGAAGAAAACAGGCTCTGGATTTTTGGTCCAATGCCCTTTCCACCTCTGCCTGTCCTTGACAGTTGTCCGAAATTGATCTCCCAAGACCTCTGCTATGGCATCCTGGGATTTTGTCCACCAGTCCCGTTTCCTATAAGAAGCTTTTTCAAGGCTTTGTAAGCCTCTGTGACATCAAAGAACATTTAAGGAAGACCTATCACTGTGTTCTGAGAATGGAGAGGGAGTGTCTTCCTTCCAACCAGAGGCCTCAAGACAAGCTGATGGTGTCCAGGCACAGCCGGATGGTGCTTGTAGATATGTGTCTTGCCATTGGCTCTGAGTGTTTTTAGGACAGTAACCATGGCTTATTTCCCTCTCTGACCCCTCGTCTGCTCCCAAGCCTCTTTTTTGAAGTACCTGGCACGTTGAGTGCACTCAGTTAAGGCTGGTTATGTGGAAGGAGCTCAGAGGCCCTGGGATAAGCAGGGGAGCCAGGCAGTGTTATCCCCTGGGCATGAAGGTTAGTGGGCGTCAGGACAGGCTTACGCCCACTGGGCAAAGCTCTTGGAGTGAGAACCAATTGGAGATGCTGCTTTTTTGCTAGTTGTCTTCCTCCTAACTCCATTGGCTCAGCCTAGGAAGAATTAAAGACGAAATATTCAGTGTAGTGGCAAGGTTGGCTTTGTTAGAACCTAGTTGATATCTGCATGGAACACAGGGGCTCCTTTATGACTGGCCTGCTTGCCTCCTTTACAATACTTTGTTTTCTTTACAAAGAACTCAAGTCTTAGGCACCAGTGAATTTTAAACTGGGGAGAGAATGTTTATGTGCCCTGGAAGATTCACACAGAGGTTGCTCTCTGCCTTCTTGGGAGAATGCACTATCTTGAAGCATTTATTCCAAGGAGCAGGTGTTGCCTCATTGTCTTTGGACAGAATTTTGGCTGAGGCCCAGAATGTTGGCTAAATGAATCCAGAGCTTCCCCTTTGGTTATTAGGCCAAAACTCCAGTTCACTGTGTGGGGAAAAGAGCGTTCTAATTTTTAAAAATTCTCCAAATAACTAAAAGCTATACAGAAGAAACCCTTATTTCCACAGTGCACATCTTTTAAAAAATGTTAGTTTTTAGAAGGTCCAGTCTAATGTTTAAGACAGAGTCTTAGTTTAATGGCTGCAGATCTGGCTCTGTCCCAGGACTGTGATTTGGAGCACAAAGTCTATTTGTCCCAGTCAAGGATGTACGAATAGAGAGGACTGGAAAGAATTTGAGTTGTCCTCAAGATACTCTCTAACTATTGCAAAACAAATGAAAATAAATGAAAAGGCCATACATCCTTAAACATGGGCTTGCCTTTCTTTGGGGCTTGCTTTTAAAAAGTGGAATGCAGAAAAATGATCCCATTAATTGGAGGTTTAGGTTGGCTGAGGATTTATTTCCTGGCACTCTGGTATGGTAGAGGGTAGGAGCTGGGTAAATCAGTTGAATCCTGAGAGGGAAAATGTTGAGCTGGACGTCAGAGGATTTGAGATCTAATCCCAGCACTGGACTGACCCACTGTTACAGTCCTCAGGATACCTGCTCTCACCCTGGGGCCCTGCTCCTGGCCTGTGAGACAAAGCTGTGATCCAGCATCACGTTGGAGGTCCTGGCGCACCTCTAGACCCCTTCCTTGTCCCCTCCTCCCCCAGCTGGCCCACATGCACCATGTTTATTTATAAACAAGGGGAATATCCTCAAGAAGTGAAAAATACCAGCTTCGATTTCGCTGTTCTGCTGCCTTGGTCTTTGTTTATGAATCCTGCCTGCCTGCTGGGAAGTCTCTTCTGTGCCCTGTTCCCCACTGTGTCTTCTTTGAAGGTTAGCTCACAAGCGAGGGTCTTACCTGGTTAATGCTGGCTCAGTTTCCCCTTCCTTCTGAAGTGAGCTATCTTTTTTGGAGCATGTATTATTTGGAGGAGGAAGAGCCCTGGGAAGAATGACAGAAGGGGGAGTCAGGCCCTCAGTGGCCACCTAGTGAGGCTGCCGTTTTGTATTGTGTGTGTGTTTGTGTGTGTGTGTGTGTGTGTGTTTTCCAAGGAGGTTCCAGAGGCCAGGGGAAGACAAGAGTCGCAGCGCATGGCACGTTTGGATTTTCATTGTCCAGGATGAGCCATGCACATGCCCAGCTGGTTGCCAGGATTCTTGGTGTCTGTGAGAATTTTTCCAAGAACCAGCAAGAGCCCAGGGGGTGTGCATCTGGGCTATGAGGACGTTTTCCTCTCACTTCTGGGCCTTGGGTGGATTGACCCCAGTGGATTGGAAGATGGATAGTTCTATATGTTTGTTTTGAACTTTCATATCTCATCTGTCTTCACACAGAAGCACATTGTTTTCCCCTTGGGTTTTCTTTAGTCACACCCAGGGCCTTTTCTGGGATTACAGAAAAAAAGGAAGCATAGATAA